GTCCTGATGTTTCATGAAGGTGCCAAGCACCAATGCTGTGATGAAAGTGAAAGAAAGAGCAACACTAGCCAAGCTGATCCCCCGAGGAGCTTGATGACATAAGAAGCTTATCTGCTTTGGAATGCATGAATCCTGCTTGTGATTTGGGTAATGATCCTCTGGACATTGGAAACAGTAATCCATGTCTAGAAAACAACACATCAGACTTGAAAGCTATCATTTCTATATACACAGTACATAAATCAGATCCCAATATTATACAACCCTGAATGAAGTACAAATATTTCAAACCTAGGAGATCTATCTCATTTTTCTCATGCTGTTTTTCTAGACCACCAAATTATTTTCTATTCCAAGAAGTACTCAGGTCTTAGGACACAAACCAGGAGTGAACCTTCATACTGAAGCTTTACTGAAAATTTCTTCTCTCACTTTGGGAATCACCTTCCAAGAGTAATTACAGTCAGCATCCTTCCTAGGCATACTCTGATGATGCTTTGCTTCTGTCCTGGACATTTGTGGAGAAACACCTTCAGCCTGGGAGCCAAACAGACTATGACCAGGTCTTACAGGTAACATAGTCATACCTCTTTTACCATTGCAGTGTTTCTGCTATCAAAAAATCACACCTTGAAGTACATTTAGGTGCAAGCTATTTCCATGGAATAAACATTTGGCTGTCTTCACTATTTCTCCTCTATACTATTCTTTCCATGAAGTTCATACAGCTACCTACAACTTTTTATCAGATTTATATGCCTTTATATGCTTCTGCCTTGAATACATTTGGTTGCATTTGGTTACATTTCCTTTGATCTCTGAACAACTGTCCTTCAGTTGCTCCATACAGCTGAACAGAATAGGAGGATACGACATAATGATTGTTATGGGTAGGGAGTGTCCTAATCCCTCCAGCCACTAGGTGCTTAGCAAGTGTGCATAGAAAGAGAGGAGTTCTCCTTGAACTGGTAGGTTTATTGAACATGGCTTGCACCGCCTTCCTGGATGAGGGAAAGCCAGAGGCAGCAGAGGCCTCTGAAATTCCTTGTGGAGCAGAGCTCTGGAGGTGTCAGCCAAGTCCACAGCAAGTTTCATCCCCCTTCTAATTTTCTGCTTAGGAAAATCCAAGGGAATCCATCCAACTGAGTCTCAACAATCAAGCAGGTTCCTCAAGGGTGCACTAGTCCTCTGCCTGAAGCATACAAGGATGAAGAAGGTCAGATTTGGTGATGGGGTGCATCTTACCCATCTGTTCTCTATGACAACAAACACATCAGCTGGTGTAGCAGAATAGACACTTCTATCAGCAAGCATTTCCACCACCATGATACTACTAATATAGTGACACAACAATTGGGGCCATATATATCAACTCAACAACAATTGTAAAAACAAGGGTATCCTTTGATTCACACTATGAAAATGATGGATCAGTCTGAGAAGTCCCATGTCAATATATCATAGAAATATTTTCTTTCTTTCTTTCTTTCTTTCTTTCTTTCTTTCTTTCTTTCTTTCAACATACTTACTAAAGTTGTTCAAATGCCACCCTTTACTATTATGCTTTATGGATGGCCATTACAATAATAACATTAATAAAATTATACTGTTTAAAATTTATACTGAACATGGTAAGATAAAATACATAGTCAACAAAATGTTCATTAATAAAATTAATATATAAAATTAAAATTAAAACATGTGTCATCGATAAATAGCTTAAGCAGTGTTGTAAGTGCATTGAAAGAGAAAGGTTTTTGTCAGGATTCTGTAACTCAGTATAGTACAGACCTGACAAATCTCTGAAGGAAAGGCATTCCATAACTGTATTGTGTTGCATCTATTCTATATACACACATGTATGCATATTTCTTACCTGTCTGGTTAGAAATCATCCCATCTGCACAAGGAAGGCATCATAGCAGCAAGGGGGCTCCCCTTCCTTTTTTTCCTGAGGCTTCCCAAGTTGCACTTCTCATTACACAGAGAACATGGCTGTGTCTTTCCACCAAAGGAAAGGAAAATATTTTAATTCATGCTGGAAGAAAAGTATCTTCCTTCAGAATTAATGGGTTAGTCACAGTATTGTATTTACATTCCACGTTTTTGTCTTGCATGGGACCTGAATCAGCTTGTATAATCTCCCTTCTCCCCATTATGGCCTCACAGCAGCCCTGGGAAATACGCTAGGCTGAGAATCAGGGATTGGCTTAAGGTGTGCTTCATGATCCTGTAGAGACTGGGACACCTAGTCCATCTCCCAACTTCCAGAGCAACCTTTTTCTCCTCTATTCCACTCACATCACAATTCTAAACCCTTGGAATTGCCCATTCTTGAGATTGCCATCTGACTCACAGGCAAAAGAAAAGTGTGCCTCTAAATGACTGCATTTGGAAAATTGAATGGAAGTGAAAATATCTTTGAAAAATGCACACATGAGGGCTTTAATTCATGGGGAGGAAAATTTCGAGGAAAAGCACCACTCATATATATTTTTGCAAAAAGCACAGGATTATATGTTCACAGGAAAAGAATGAATGAAATTTTGCAGGCAGGTTTTGGCATACCCTGGCACAAGATTTGGAATGGCATTTTGAGAAGTCTG